TTACTCTTATAATGTCTTTCTTTTTTCTTTAATTAAAAAAAAAAATTAAGGGCTGGGGATATAGCTCAGTTGGTAGACAGCTTGCCTCACAGGCATAAGGCCCTGGGTTCAATCCTCAGAACCACCACCAAAAAAAAAAAAAAAAAAAAAAAAAAAAAAAAATTAAAATAGGCTAGCCCTTAGAAAAGACAGGCATTATGCAGAAGAAAAAAGCAGGGGTTTGAGAGGTAGATCTCACTATTCGGGAATTATTTCTCTAAGTCAGCTATAGCCCACTTCCAACAATAGATGTATTTTTCATAAAGTTTTCAAAAATTAAAGTCCAACATACAAAATGACCTTCTGGACCATGACTCCCTCTCTCCCTCTCTTAAAGTAACCACTGCTCTGGCAGCTAACAGTGTAGAACAGTTTTGCCTGTTATTTAACTTTATATGAATAAATGACACTGGGTATTCTTTGGAGGTTGACTTGTATTGCTCAGGTTGTGTTTGTGAACAGAAGTTCCAGTTGTGGTGCAGTGAGTGCTCATCTTTGAGAAGACAGACATTTCTTCTGGAAGGTGGCCAGTGGGTCTGATGCCTGTGTATAAATCTTACTTTATTCCTTTTTATAGGTAGAGAGGTAGGATGAAGGTGGCAGTTGTCCAGGGGCATGAAGGAAATGATGGAAAATGAAGGAGAAATCTATAGAATGAACAGGTTGCTCTAAAGACAAATTTTGATTAAATAACATTTCTGGGATCAGATTTGATGTTAAATTTCTTTAAGAATTGGATCAAATCAATCTAACTTCCAGTACCTTGGCCATACCAAAGTAAAATATTATAATAATAATATGTCCTTCTTTCTCCATTGCAAGGTTGGTACCCTGTATTAAATGTGTTCTGGGCCTTTTAGCAGAGAGTTGCTAAAATCTTCCCAGATGGATGATCTCATTTAAGTATACAATGCACACACTATTAAATGTACTACAACCTAGACAGGTATGATGACTATCTCCATTAAGAACCCACTTCATTAACCAAGAATAGATTGCAGCCCATTGCAAAGTGTTTCAAATGCAATAAGACCACCCAGAAACCCTTGGGCTCTCCGCTTTACATGAATATGTAAGAAATTGCTTTCAGACTCTGAAGGAAACCAGTACTCAGAGTGCAGTGACAGATGTGGGAAGTAATCAAGCTTTCAGTGTGTAGCACAGGAAAGTACAATTCACCTCTGTTTAAATAATTTGCCTTTCAAAAAGATGCCTAAAGGGCCTGGACTGCTTTTTACAGAGGCAAGGTCCACATCGAGGTTTGCAAGAGGAAAAATAGACATCTGGGACAAAACTCATTCCTTCCCTAAGACCAGTCAAATCCTAGATACCAGTAAAAAGTGGGAAGAGAAGGAAGAGCTGGAGAGAGAGGGCAGGAGAAGAGAGAGCTCCACAAAAACCAATCCAGGGTAAAATAATTTCTAAAGGTTTCCAACAGAAAAAGAATGTGTAGATGGGATGGGTACTATAGTTTGGGTCTTAACTGTCCCTCAAAAGTTCATGTGTCAGCCATGTGTGGTGGCACATGCCTGTAATCCCAGCAACTCAGGAAGCTGAGGCAGGAGGATCACAAGTTCAAAGCCAGCCTAGGCAACTTAGGCAGGTTCTAAGAAACTTAAGGAGACCTTGTCTCAAAATAAAAAAATTAAAAAGGCTGGGGATATGGCTCAGTAGTTAAGTGCTCCTGGATTCAATTCCTAGTACCAAAACAAAAACAAAGACTTCATTGTGTTAAAAAAAAAAATGGTACTCAGCCATGATGCTACTGAAAGGTGGTAGAATTTTAGGAGGTGGGGCTAGTAGAAGAAAGTTAGGTCACTGGGGGATATGCCCTTGAAGCAGGCATTGGGACCTCTGACCCCTCCCTCTGTTTCCCCATTGCCAAGAGGTCAGCAGCTATGCTCTGCCATGCATTTCCCACCATGATGTTCTCCTTTACTCCCGACCCAAAGAAACATGGCCAAGCAAGATAAATCTTTTTGCCTAGCATGCATGGGTTCAATCCCCAGCACTTTAAAAACAAACAAACAAATCAACTTAAAGAGATTTGTCTTTTTTATCTCAGATATTTTTCACAGAGAAGGAAAGCTAACTAACAGAGTGGGCAATTGAGATGAAGAGAAATTAGGGCCCCGGAAATGTGATTCTGGTACCATGAGATCCTATTCAAAATACTTATTTCATCAGCTCTCAGTATTTTGACCTGAAAAATGGGGGAAATAAACCAATAACATTGCAGTTGTAAATGATATATGTGTCTATATCCACCTGTTTTCTCTGTCTACATCAGTATTTATGTCTCCATGTTAGTAGTAGGATTTACCCAATTATTTATTTTACTGATGGCTCTAATTCAGGGGACAGACTGTTCTCAAATATGAATTTCACCAACCCACCCATTTCTGACCCGAGTTCCTTCCCTCTGGCAGATCTGATTGTTCTCTCATTCAGTTTGTTCTCCTGCTCTCACTACAAAGTAAAAGGACGTTTTTGATGGTAGGAACACGGTGGGTGGTCATTTGCCAACTCCACAGGCCCCTGGTTTAGGCAGCACATTTGCTGATGGAAAATTCAATCTCCAAAGAATGCCTTTCTAGCTTGTGCGGACTATTTATAGCTTCTGACACAGGTTTCAAGTAGAGAATGAACATCATTATTAATGCTAACTCATAAGAACTCTACAGGAAGGAGGACTATGAAGTCAACATAGGATGTCCTTAAGAGATGTGGTCTTAGAGAATCTGACAATGGAAGGGAAGATGAATGAAGAAATGGGAGTGAGTTGCTAAGACACAAATGGGACTCAGGCCTTAGCTTTCTTTTCTAGGTCATCAGTGGTCCTCTTTTCTGACTGCAAGGTTTTCCCCCTTCAACTTTCTGTTTGTTTTGTTTTTTTCCTGAAAAAGAAATGTTGGTTTAACATCTCTGAAGAAATGTGGAGACTCCTAGTGCCCAGACTCCTGCTTTACACTATTAATCTTGTCTTCCTAACTTTTAAGTTCTGACTTCTTTAGATCTCACCTTCTCCATTCAGAGGTCCAAAAGAAAATCCTTGATCAGTTGGGCTGGTTTGCTCATATTTCATGAATGTGCTTTTGCTTAGTCTTTGCTTATTATGTTACACTCCCACCTGGAAGACTCTCATCCTGCCAAATGCCATCTGTCCTTTAAGATGCACAAATAGTCCCATTTTCTCTAGGAAACTTCTCTGAATATCTAGCCCAGAGAGAATCACCCTTTTCCTCTGAATTTTGAACAGGAAATTAGAGGGTACTTCATATAATATCATGTTAATTAGCCATATAATATTATCTCTTATTTTGTTCTGTGTTAGTTTCCCCATACTATTTGAGTTAGTGTCCTTCTGAGTTAGAGACCTGTTGCATGGCTTGAGTCAGGGACCTAGTGCTCAGAACAGCAGAAGGGGCTACTTTTTAAATTTGTCCACCCAGAAAGGAGTTATGAACTCAAAGACATGGTATGGGAGACCAGCTTAAACCCTCCTCTTCCTTTATACTCAATTTCAGACATGTGCAGATCAATTTGACTGCCATAGATTCCACAGTTACTCCCGAAGAAGAAACACCATCTTCCTAGATCCCCTGAATGACACGATTCATCAAATGCTTTCTTTCAAGATAACATTATTTTTATACACAGAGAGTTGACACCGTTTTCTGGATGAAGCAGACTAAAAGACATACTCTAAGGAGACAAAGAAAAAAAAAAAAAAAAAAAACGCCGTGATACACACCAAATCTTGAGATAGATAATTCAGCAACAGTTGTTAAAATCTCCAGGAATACCATCAAAGATAGAATTTAGGAAAAGGGAGAAAGTCCAGCTGAGCCAGCCAGAGCTGCAGATAATGCAGAGGGGAAATTCAGCTTGAGGGAATGACTGCTTGCCAGCCCGCTGCCCCAGACGTATTAGCGCTGAGGTAGAAAAGGAAGAACCCCAAAGGCAGACCAATGAATTGTGCAAGTGGGGGCAGACAGATCTGTTCCCTTTGCCTAAGAGGAGTCTCTGTTTTTGGTGCTTGAATAAGTCATACATACTGATGTGCAGGGCCCCCTTAGAGGAAGGGGCTGCTGTCCCACCCCACTACTTAGTGCTAGCCTTCTGACCTGGGGTGAGGCACTCAATCTAGTTTTCTTATCAGCAAAAATGAGGTAACATTGCCTCATTTATCAATCCATCCACTCACCAGGTATTTATTTAGGGCCCACAGTGGGTCTAACGTGAAGTAACACAATGGCGAGCTACACAGACAGTTTTTGCCTTTGTGGGGTGTTCAGATCATCTCCCTGGGTTGAAGTTACAGAGAAGAAACATGTCTTTGAACTGGAAAGCACTGTGACAAAAGAAAGTCTTTATCATCAACAGCCTCCACTCTTGATCTAGCTGTGTGACTGGGCCAGTCACAATTTTTCTGGGCTTTGTTAGTCTCAGCTAAAAAATGTGGACATTTCCTCTCCTAAAATTTAATTACTTCAAATACAAATGAAGAAGCTAGGCTTTTTAGGTACTTCTGAGTCAGAGCCTTCTAAAAGATTATTATGAAATAGTTCAGACATAACAGAAGGGTAAGAATAATATAACAAGCCTTTATGTACCAACTCTCTTACATAAGAGAGAAAACGTTGCAAGGAGCTCTATCTGGGGCCAGGACCTCTCATCCTCAGGTTGTATAACTGAGATGAGTTTGGTGTTTATTATCCTGAAACCTGGTTGTTCAAGGAAACCTGGCATGGGACTAAAAATATTTCACCAGTGAAGAGCTCTTCCTACACTTAGGTGTTCCTGGTTCTAATGAATGCCAGATCACGACAGTACATATCACACACAGGTGCCACTCTGTTCTCTCCCTGCCGGCCTGATTGCTGCCCAACTGGCAGATGACCAGAAAAGCCCTTTAGCAGGCACTGCTGCTGCAAGGAGAAACACTGTGTTGTATTTACCTTGAGGGCCTTCTGCGCAGCTTCACTAGACCCGATTGCAATCAGGTTAGGCCCAGCCATGCTGCAGAAACTCTTCAAATGCAAAGCATCGGCTACAGGGACTGTGGAGACTGCATAGTCCTACACAGACAAACAGAATAACAAGCAGTTTGGTATTGCAGAGTAATTCTAAAACTGATTAAATCCTGCCTGAACTGCACTTGCTCATTTGAAGGCTGTCGGGCCCCAAATATCTGGAAGAAAAACTGTGACCCACAGCTTTGGTAATGCTGGGTAATTGGCAATGAAGACTACCTCTGAGAAGCAAGCAGAACTTCCTCCCAGATATGACTGTGTCAAGAGCTTTGCCAGCTCTCTGGCCTGTAAAGCGGACCACTATAGGATGGTGGTTTTAATACCCTGTGCAAACTGTGGCTCAGTGCTTATTAGTGGATATATATATTAGGGATTATATATTAGGGATATAACCACTAATAAGCTCAGAGCTTATTAGTGGTTATATCCCTTCATAAGCAGTCAGGAGAGCCCATCTATTGATGATCAGGAAAGGGACCTTGAAAGGAGATGTGAAATACCTAGCCCAGTTTCGAGCACATAGTAGGCATCCATGTACAGGCAACCTCTGATTTTCATCAGAAAAGTAACATTTCATATAAAAGTCAACTGGATCTCCAAATTTGTGTGTGTGTGTGTCACTTATTGTTCCAGGAACATGTACCAGGTGTTTGTATCATTGCATACTGGAAGAAAAGAGAGGATGGTCACACTAACTTTGTCAGTTGCTCCCATTAATTAATGAAGCTTGATTATCAAGAAATTTGAATTTGATAATGTTTAAATCTTCTAGCAAATGTACAAATACTAGGACTTATTTTGCCATGCTGGTGAAATGTAAACACCATTACTCATAACATATTGATTCAATGGGTCTATGAATATTTATCAAGTAATTACTCTGCCAGGCATAAGTTATCCTTTACCTACCTTAAAAGTATCAGCCAAGATTTCAGCACCTCGTTGATTTGTCCTTTTGGAAAGGCCCACAAAAAATTCTCTGCCTATAATAGATGTCATGAAACATAGTGAGTGGGTGGCTCCAGTGACTGTGCACTATTTCTTTTATCTATAAATACTGACCTGAAAGCATCACATAGTTCCTTCCTGCCACAGAGGACAGCTCCACCAAAAAGACCCCTGTTCCCTTTACAAAAAGTTCAACTCAAATTATTGCCCTTAAAAATAAGCTTTTTTTCAAATTCATAGAGACAGAAAACAGGATGGAGGTTTCTCGGAGCTGAGAGGAGAGATAAATGAGCGAGTTTAGTGGGCACAGAGTCTCAGTTTGGGAAGATGAAAAAATCCTAGCGCTGCATGGTGGTGCATACTGCCTGAAGTATGGTATTGCATACTGCCTGAGGTATGGTGGTGTATAACAGCATGAAAGTCCATACTGCCTCTGACTGTACCCTCAGAAACAGATCTGATGGTAAACTTTATGCTATGTATATTTTACCACAATGAAGAATTAACTTTTCATTTAAGAAACAAAAGAATGAAACATACTCATAATCTATAACTAGAAATTAGGTAATAGCAATGACAAGTTAGCAGTGTTGCCCTTTGTTACCTCCTAAAAGAATAATGTTTTTAATTAACTCAGAGGCCTTTTCTTATAAACATCAAGTAAGGCCTGAAGAAACCATATGGGTAACATGAGGGTAGTGCTTACTGCTCTTCGGGTCTGGTCTCTAAGAGCTCCGTCTTTAATATTATACTTCTATTTGTTTCAAATCAAACATGAAGATACCTATTTGCAAAGTGAAAAAAGTTAAGGACGAAAGACCTTGGTGTTTGATGTCTCTGAAATTCTGCAACTTTTCTATTCAGAAAGCAAACACTAAATAAAAATGGTCTCTAAGTTTAGGCAATGAGACAACAATTGTACATAGGGTTGAGCAATACATTAATGTGGGGATTTTCATTTTCCCTTAATTCTTTGGGGGAAAAAATCCACTTGAAAGCATAAAGGTCGTCCATACTGCCTCTGTACCCTCAGAAACAGATCTGATGATAAATTTTATGTTATGCATATTTTACCACAATAAAGAATTCACTTTTCATTTAGGAAACAAAAGAATTAAACATTCACAATCTTTAATCAGAAATTAGGTAACAGCAAGGACAAGTTAGCAGTATTACCCTTTGTTACCTTTGTTATTCAAAGAGAAATCAGTGAGTTTTTGTCCCAGAGCATCATCATAAACATAAGAAGATGACCGTGGAAAAGGGACTGTTTTGACAGACTTTACAAATGCTACTCCTTTAATCTTCATCTGTCCTCATAAAAGGGGTAAATGACACAGGTCAAATGATGTTAGGACAAATTCCAAGGGTTTATGCTGTTGGCAGACAGACAAATCTGCTGTGGCACAGTGACAATTTTTTTGGCAATGGTATGATTGTGTAGTCTCTTAAGAAAACTCAGACATAAAAATCAAAATTTAAGTAGGGCAGGTCTGTTCCTTGGCAAAAGTATTACTTTATAAGAAAAAAAGTCAGCTATAATTACAAAATAAAGTTTCACTAATTCTTTTCAGATAAGAATACATTTATAAATTAGTCTCATACACAACTTTAAAAAAAAAACTCAGTACTGGGGCGCGGGTTGTGGCTCAGTGGTAGAGTGCTTGCCTAGCATATGTGAGGCACTGGGTTTGATCCTCAGCATCACATATAAATAAATGAATAAAGGTCCATCAACATCTAAAAAATATTTTTTTTTTTTTAAAAAAAAGAAAAACTCAATGCTTTAAGCAAGTTTTAAGAGGGGCATGCACGCTATCTCAATTTTATAAAATTAAATATGATAGGAAAGTACAAAAATAAGCATACTGTTTATGTCTTTAAAAAGTTAAGTTGTACTTCTCTGTTTCTGGCAGTGTTATGGATAAGATCCCCTAAATGACATTCCTGATGGAAATAACTAAAATGCTGGAATTGAAGTATTTTAAAAACAGTTTTTTGGTATCTGTGTGTCATTTTCTTCTATGCCAGTTCATTTCCCCCACTTCTATGGTATTTATTTATAGGAAAAACCAGCCCTTTTAGTCTATCTATGGACTAGCCTACATTCTAGATTTGCCCGATTGCTTCCTAATATCATTTAATATTTAAACTGTTCCTTTATCCTTTCTATTTTTAGTAAACATAGTTTAATGTAGATGGTTAAATTAGAATCTCATCCTTTTTTTTGGATAGGAAAACTTCAGAGGTGGGGTTGCGCTTTTACTGCATTACATAAGGAAGCACAGGACTGACTGCTCCATTTTCAATAGTTAGACTAGAAGGATCAGTGGTTTCAGGAGGCATCAGATTAATTTCCCTATTATACAGTTTTCTATCAATTCTTCACATAATGGTTTTCATATTGTTTGATGATCAAGCATAGACCCACTATTTTGTTAGAGATCTGCATTTGCTGGCTGGAATTCTAAAAAGAAAATTACGAATCAAGTATTTGGTCTACTTGAAATACAACTTGTAAAAGGAAAGATAAGATAAATGCTGTGTCTTTCCTTTACCTACCCACCACTAGACTGATGGGTTGTTGTTTCAATAACATAAAAATGGCCAAGTGTTTTTTTTTAAATCATGAGTCAACAATTAAATCATAACTATGTAAATTTAAAAATATTTGGAACTAAATGATAACAAAAATTAAAAAAAATTTAGAAGTTGTACTTGGAAGAAAATGCTTAAGTTAGTGAAGATGAAAGATTCAAAATTCCCTGGGATGCAAGGCTGGTTCAATATACGGAAATCAATAAATGTTATTCACCACATCAATAGACTTAAAAATAAGAACCATATGATCATCTCGATAGATGCGGAAAAAGCATTCGACAAAGTACAGCATCCCTTTATGTTCAAAACTCTAGAAAAACTAGGGATAACAGGAACATACCTCAATATTGTAAAAGCAATCTATGCTAAGCCTCAGGCTAGCATCATTCTGAATGGAGAAAAATTGAAGGCATTCCCTCTAAAATCTGGAACAAGACAGGGATGCCCTCTCTCACCACTTCTGTTCAACATAGTTCTCGAAACACTGGCCAGAGCAATTAGACAGACGAAAGAAATTAAAGGCATCAAAATAGGAAAAGAAGAACTTAAATTATCACTATTTGCAGATGACATGATTCTATACCTAGCAGACCCAAAAGGGTCTACAAAGAAACTATTAGAGCTAATAAATGAATTCAGCAAAGTGGCAGGATATAAAATCAACACGCATAAATCAAAGGCATTCCTGTATATCAGTGACAAATCCTCTGAAATGGAAATGAGGACAACCACTCCATTCACAATATCTTCAAAAAAAAATAAAATACTTGGGAATCAACCTAACAAAAGAGGTGAAAGACTTATACAATGAAAACTACAGAACCCTAAAGAGAGAAATAGAAGAAGATCTTAGAAGATGGAAAAATATACCCTGTTCATGGATAGGCAGAACTAACATCATCAAAATGGCGATATTACCAAAAGTTCTCTATAGGTTTAACACAATGCCAATCAAAATCCCAACGGCATTTCTTGTAGAAATAGAGAGAGCAATCATGAAATTCATATGGAAAAATAAACGACCCAGAATAGCAAAAACAATGCTAAGCAGGAAGTGTGAATCAGGCGGTATAGCGATACCAGACTTCAAACTATACTACAGAGCAATAGTAACAAAAACAGCATGGTACTGGTACCAAAACAGGCGGGTGGACCAATGGTACAGAATAGAGGACACAGAAACCAATCCACAAAACTACAACTACCTTATATTTGATAAAGGGGCTAAAAGCATGCAATGGAGGAAGGATAGCATCTTCAACAAATGGTGCTGGGAAAACTGGAAATCCATATGCAACAAAATGAAACTGAATCCCTTTCTCTCGCCATGCACAAAAGTTAATTCAAAATGGATCAAGGAGCTTGATATCAAATCAGAGACACGCCATCTGATAGAAGAAAAAGTTGGCTACGATCTACATACTGTGGGGTCGGGCTCCAAATTCCTCAATAGGACACCCATAGCACAAAAGTTAATAACTAGAATCAACAAATGGGACTTACTCAAACTAAAAAGTTTTTTCTCAGCAAAAGAAACAATAAGAGAGGTAAATAGAGAGCCTACATCCTGGGAACAAATCTTTACTCCTCACACTTCAGATAGAGCCCTAATATCCAGAGTATACAAAGAACTCCAAAAATTAGACAATAAAATAACAAACAACCCAATCAACAAATGGGCCAAGGACCTGGACAGACACTTCTCAGAGGAGGACATACAATCAATCAACAAGTACATGAAAAAATGCTCACCATCTCTAGCAGTCAGAGAAATGCAAATCAAAACCACCCTAAGATACCATCTCACTCCAGTTAGATTGGCAGCCATTATGAAGTCAAACAACAACAAGTGCTGGCGAGGATGTGGGGAAAAGGGTACACTTGTACATTGCTGGTGGGACTGCAAATTGGTGCAGCCAATTTGGAAAGCAGTATGGAGATTTCTTGGAAAGCTGGGAATGGAGCCACCATTTGACCCAGCTATTCCCCTTCTCGGTCTATTCCCTAAAGACCTAAAAAGAGCATGCTACAGGGACACTGCTACATCGATGTTCATAGCAGCACAATTCACAATAGCAAGACTGTGGAACCAACCTAGATGCCCTTCAATAGATGAATGGATAAAAAAAATGTGGCATTTATACACAATGGAGTATTACTCTGCATTAAAAAATGACAAAATCATAGAATTTACAGGGAAATGGATGGCATTAGAGCAGATTATTCTAAGTGAAGCTAGCCAATCCCTAAAAAACAAATGCCAAATGTCTTCTTTGATATAAGGAGAGTAACTAAGAACAGAGTAGGGTCGAAGAGCATGAGAAGAAGATTAACGTTAAACAGGGATGAGAGGTGGGAGGGAAAGGGAGAGAGAAGGGAAACTGCATGGAAATGGAAGGAGACCCTCAGAGTTATAGAAAAGTACATACAAGAGGAAGTGAGGGGAAAGGGAAAAATAATACAAGGGGGACAAATGAATGTCAGTAGAGGGGGCAGAGAGAGAAGAGGGGAGGGGAGGGGAGGGGAGTGGGGATAGTAGAGGATAGGAAAGGCAGCAGAACACAACAGACACTAGTATGGCAATATGTAAATCAATGGATGTGTAACTGATGTGATTCTGCAATCTGTATATGGGGTAAAAATGGGAGCTCATAACCCACTTGAATCAAAGTGTGAAATATGATATATCAAGAACTATGTAATGTTTTGAACAGCCAACAATAAAAAATAAAAAAAAAAGATTCAAAATTAATGAGATAAAATTCCAACTTGAGATGTAGGGGGAAAAAGAATCCAATAAAACAAAGAAATCTGAAAGAAGGAAATAAATAAAGGAAATATTCAAGAGAGAGAGTTCAACGAATCCAGTAGCCGGTCCTTTGAAAAGGTTAATAAAATTGACCAACTTCAGGCAGGTAGGCAGGCAGGAAGGAAGGAAGGAAGGAAGGAAAGAAGGAAGGGGACAGGCAGCCAGGCAGATGGCATAAATATCACAAATGAAAAAGGAATAAAGCTACCGTTGCTGTGAAGCTTAAACAAACATCAGAAGACAGGAATAACTTTATACCCAACATTTTGAAAATTTTACATAAAATAGATAAAGTCCTAGAAAAATGGAATGCCTCAAAATGGACTCAGGGAAGCCTCGTCATATTATCTTTAAAGAAGTGAACCAGTTTAAAATCATCCCTGCAAAGAAGGCACCAGACACTGTTTATGGACGTGTCCTACCTACCACAGCTCAAGGAATACACAGTTCAAATGGTACTGATTCCAGAGAATAGAAAAATAAGAAACATCCCTTAATATTTTTCATGAGACTAATATAACACTTTACCAAAACCAGACAAGAATAACAAGAAAGAAAAATTACAGGACATGAAATAAAGTCTTAACAAAATGTTAGCAAACTAATTCCAATACTGTATGAAAAAGTGAGTTAATCACGATCAAGTTTGATTTCAATCCAGAGATGTAAGACTGGTCAACTACCAGAAAATTGATTAATATAATTAACCATGTTTCAGATTAAAGAAGAAAATCAAATAATCATTTCATTGGAAGAAAGAAAGAATTTACCCTATAACCTGGAATTCATTTCCCAATGTTGATCTTAGAGGAACTCTTGTACATGTCTGCAGGAGACACACACAGAAATTAACATAGCAGCATTGAAGATAATAGTAGAGAAGAACCAGAAAATACCCAAAATATACATCACCAGAAAGTGCATAAATACACTGTGGTATAATTCCACAGAGTACTAGCCAGCATTGAAAATGAACTGCAGCTACACACATCGACTTGAATCAAAAGTAGAAAAATTCATGCAAGAGTTCATATAGTGGGACACTAATAGTAAAAAGCTGTAAGAGAAGCAAAACTGAGCAGTGATTGCTTGAGGCTGGGAGGAGGGAGAGATTGGGATGGGGGGACCCCAAGGGTTTCTGTGGTCCTGGTAATACTCTATTTCATAAGACAGGGGTGAATACCCAGGTGTTAATTTTCTTTTTGGTCTTTAAAGCAGTACATACACATTTTACAATTCAGTTCTATGCACTCTATATTTCACCAAAATACATAAATAAAAGTAGAGATAAGCCAATGTTATTTATTCAAGAGAAATGGAATGAAAACAGTTTTAGCCCGTAGCTGCTTGCCTGACTGACAGATTTCCCAGCAGGAACTGGAATTGGAAAGCAGCTCTCCTTCTGTCCATTTCCTGATAAATTATTAATGAATCTTGAGTTACAGAAGGAAGAGGGCACAGAACACATAGAAAGTGCTACAGATTTTCTTATACAATTCTGTGTAATCCAAAAATTGAGTGGTAATATTCCATACTACTGTGAATGTGATTATTGCCCCATGAATTGTACACTTAAAAATGGTGAAAATGGCAAATTTTATGTCATATTTTACCACAATAAAAAATGAGGGAAGAAAGAAAACTTCAGAGGTTGGAAAAAGAAAGCAGAACATAACATCAGGTTTGAATGAGATGCCAAGCAAAGACGTCCCAACATTATCTCAATTTTCAATATAATACCTAAGATGGTAATTTATATACTGAATATAGCAAGTAAAAAAAAAACAAAAACTACAGAGTGTATCAAAGGTAAGCCTTAGTACTTAGTGCCTAATTAGAATATGGGGAAAAGCACTGGGCTTGAAATGCTGTGGAAAGACTGTAGACCATGCAGGAAGGGACTCCTTCTGCGCCTTCCCATTGAAGAGATTTTAGGGTAGCTGTGCAGCTCAGCTGTGAAGATAACTAAATGGCTGTGAACATAGCTTGTTTTAAGCTGTACTGCAAATGTGATCCGTATCTGCTTACAATAAGTTGTGTATTATATGGCTATTTCTGTTTTTTAAAAAAAGTATTGTTAAGGAAGTGTGATTTACACATCTAGCTTTTCACAAAACTCCATTTTCTAAGTGAAACAAGCTGTTGTTCTGGGCTGTCAAAAAGAATGAAAGTGCCATCAATGGGAGGCTCAAAGGATATTCTGAGTGGGGGATGGGGAGGACTTACTGGGTAGAGTTGAAGAATGTCTGTGTCTTGCCAGGCACAGTCAGAGCTAAGAATGCAGCCTGAGCCTCCTTGACCCCTTGTTCTGCATCTGAAGGCTCAATGTGCGTTGTGCGGCAGACCACACCCCAGCAGCAGGGCCACTAGCAGCTCTGTCCACGGCAGCACAGGCCCTGCAGTGCATAGCTCTAGAGGGTTCTATTCACAGAGCTGTTGGTGGAATGGTGCCCCCTGGAGCTGGGCAACACAATGGCCTCAGCACCAGGCACAGGACACTGAGCAGAGAATAAACACACTCCTCCCCCAGGAAAACTAGGTATATCCAAATGTAAGCAACACAAAAACATTTCTAGATGAAAACAAGGAAGGCTATCTTCTGCTATATACACGGGATTCAATATAAATACACAACAGTTAAAATATTAAGCTTTGTGCTTTCAGTGGGTCACATGAGGGAGGCTGTTTTCCCAGATTCCTGAGAACCAGCCTTTGCTCTTTGGGCTACACTGGTGAAACAGGTATTCATCCTCTGACATTCAGAGGAAAATAAACTCTTGGTATGACTTAAAAACTACTATTATCTTGCTCTTCAGTATAACCAAGATGAATGTGGGGGTCCAAATTTTATACATGATTTTTATAAAACAATAGTCCTATGATCAATAAGAATTAGAAAGGTTAAATACTAAAATTACTGTTTCTTTAATAGCCATATTAAACTGATTGTACAAAGCAATTCTGTTAGATCAATAATAACATTAACATTTATATTTTGTCTGCTATTACTCAACTGGCATTAAGCCAAGTCAATTTGTATAGAAAATTATTTGAATTCCTCTTGCCATCTGGAGAGAAAATTATTTGTAAATGACACTAATCTAGAATTTAGAATCCTCTAAATACAAACCAGACATACAGTCGCTAGATGCAAAACTATGCCACTCATAAAATCAATTGTAGAAGAACACAGAAGCAAGATACATATTAATCATCTACCTACCAATAATATTCTTGTCAGAATATGCAAATATATGCAAACAAAAGTATTGAAAGGAATGAACAACCAAATGTTAAAGTGATTATCTCTAAATGGAAGGTCAATTTTTCCCTCATTGTGCTTTTCTGTATTTGTCAAATTCTCAGCATTTAGCATCCATTACTTCAGTAAGTAAAATAAAAACTATAAGAAAATGAGTATGATTAAGGTAGTGAAAGTATTTTTGGACATAAAAAAATAAATGTAACTCTACCTGTGAATAAGACATCTCCACCATCTAAGGTCGCATTTTCATCCTTCATCTCTACTATATTAAGCTGAAGTTTTTCTAATGCTTCTTTCATCATGTCAACCTGTTGAAAAATAAAACAATTCATATTAGTAGATACCATTTCCTAATACAAAAACCAATTTCTGAAAACTTCTGAGCACTGTTATCCTCCTATGTAAGCGCGCGCGCACACACACACACACACACACATACACGCACACTCTCTCATTCTTATGTATGTAGGAAACATGTTATAGAGTGCAAGATCACAGGATAAGTCATGACAATTTGTAAGAGAAGAAATTATCATTAGAAATTACCCATTTGGTTCCCTTTTAGTCTAAGAGTTAATTAATATTAGTCTTCTTTTTTGGAGGAGAGTAACTCACTATCTAGGATACTGTTAATGCTGACCAGTTAGGACACTACTGGAAGCTGACCTTTTATAGGGCATGTAAGTCAAAAAAGGCAAGAGGCAAGTGACATAGTCCACATATCTTTGCCAGAAAGAACAAGATCTTAATTTTCATCCTGAGTCACTTGGTGAGTCAGAATAACACACATACATAATAATAATGGAAGGAAAATCAATAACTAACAACTTGAAATTTCAATCTATAGGCGGCCATTGTTTCCTATTATTATTATTATTATTATTATTATTATTATTATTTTTTAGTACCAGAAATTGAACCCAGGGGTACTTAACCACTGAGTCACATCCCCAGTCCTTTTTATGTTTTATTTTGAGATAGGGTCTCACTGAGTTACTTAGAGCCTTGCTAAATTGCTGAGGCTGGTTTTAAACTTCAGATACCTCCTGCTGGTATTGCAGGTGTGCACCATTGTGCCTGGCTCAAGTGTTTTCTAAAATGCCAGAACTTCCAAGCCTTCTCTGTAAATCTAAATTGTTATTTAAGTTTATACTCAAACAATTAATATGATTACTTGTCTTAAAACCTACTTCCCTAGAGAGGATTAACAAATATAGTAACTGCAGTCAAACCAAAGAATATTAGAAAATGACATTCAGGGACTCTATGATTCTGGGGTGTGTCTCAGCACAGAGAGATTCTGGGCTGAATTAGGAAACATTTCTAATGAGACTTACTTTAATACGAGAAAAAAACTATAAGGCATAACAAATGCCCTTTGAAGCTTACAATTTAATTAAAGTCATTCCAGTGACTCAAAAAAACAAATTAAATAGTTTTGAAGGTCTGCAAAATCTTTAACATGGCAAGGACATACATTCACAAGACATGAAAGGAAAATAAGAGATCACAACACACTGGGCGAAGCAGGAGGCTCTGCCAAAATATAGCATGCTGAGGACACAGAGTGACTTGTCAATGAAGAGACATCAGTATGGCAAGAGTCAGCTCTAAAGCAATAAAAATATGGAAATACTTCGACAACAAGGCTGACATTCATGCATTCAAAAACATTAAAGAGGATACAAAGTAAAATAAATATATCATCTCATCCTTGTCCTGGAACGCATGCTAAAATTCCACAAACCAGAGTGACTCAGAACAATAAAAATTATTTCCATGGACAAAATGGTCTTAATGTTGTTATAAATACATCCAGTGACCTCTTTTAACAGCAGGATAGGTTTTCCTATGTAACAGGAAATGGAATCGTTGCTATAGCATGGAAAAAGAGAAAACAACATTTACTATGGCTTGTTGAGCTACTGTGAACCCAGGAAAACACACAACCATTTGCTTCTGGCCTTTGTGCTTCTGTGTCCATGGAAAATTCACTGACCATAGGGAGAGAGATCATGAGAACTGTGCTACCATCACCTTTTGTTTCTATGGCTAATGCTGCCGCTTCCATTACAGCTTAACATCTCAAAGGTTACTAGGAGTTTAGCAGTAACATGGATTTTGGTCTGAAAAGTTTGTCTGTAACTATGTAACTTCTCAACTTAAGAACTTCATTCAACTTTTAAGTGTTAAAGGACAGTAAGAAGGCTACTTATACACAGGTTTCAGAAACATTGTTTCTTTTTAAAAAGTCTTATATCTTTCAAAATCAAAGTTTTAGAGGATAAAATGTTTGTGGTTTTCTTATAAAAGTCAAAACAGCTGCACTGACATTAAGGAACTGGCTTTTGTGCAAGGGAAGTACTTTTTTTTTTCTTTTTCTTTTTAAATGTTCAGTCACATCTACACAAAGTCATAAGGAGAGGTCCATACCACAAATGCTGATAGTACTACATTAATTTTTCAGAGTTAAGTTCATGGAGAAGAGTTTTTAAAAATTTAAACATCAAGTAAACAGTTTTGAGAAGCGCAGGACCATATGGTGTCAAATTGGTAATGCTAACTCAGGGAGATTTCTGAGAAAGAAACAAGAGAGGCTGAACCCCATAGGCTGACCACAGAGAACTGCATTCTCTTGGCACAGAGGTTCCAGCAAAGCATACCAAGGCAGCTGCACACAAACCAGGCCCTGCCCTGACACACAGGCACAAATTGAGCCAGCCACTCGGGCAGTTAGAACTTTAACTGTAGAAGTGGGAATGTATGCAGGAAAAGATCCAAACCATGAACCTTCAAGAAACTGCCCATTCTGTTGTTACACAGCCATGGTCAAAGCTGACTTAATTAACTTTCAAGAGGTACAAAAAAAAAAAAAAAGGCCAAACTATACCACCAACCTTTAGCAGCGACAGTAACCCCACAGAGTGGAATTTTACATTACTCAGAGAAACCGTCAGAACAAACAGTATTAATTCCAAAGGTTGAGCTGAATGGGTTGTTTATAGCCCATGAAATTAGAAACGAAAAGGGCAGAATTAGAGAAACAGCCCTAATTAGTTTAAACCTCAATTTGTACCTTAGAGTAGGATATATAATTCTCTTATTCTATTCTGAAGACTTACAAGAATTAACTTTCTCCTTCCATCATCATGCTCATACACTTTGATTTCATCGTTTTATTCTATATTTGCATTTATTGTTGCTCCAACTTTTCTCCTCCTACCCTTTACTTCCCTGGCCACAGTGGCTTCTGATCACCTTTGATGCTCCCCTTCATTCAGCCATATATCTTGGTCTCCAAGAGTTGGTATAGGCTTGAGGTAATTATCTTCCCTTCCACTTCCTCTCTCCTTTTCTTTTCCGCTGGAGTACCAGTGTTCAAAAATGTAGTTATTGGGGTTACACATTCATAGTCATTACACTAGGAAAGTCTATGATCTATGGCCTGGAGTTCAAATCTCCACTCTGCTACTTACTAGCTAAGTGACCTTGGTTTGTTTAACATTCTGATGATCTTCGGTCTGTTCATCTTTAAAGTGGTTGTTTACTTATAATAATACCAACTTGTTGAGTTCTTCATGATTATTAAATTCATGCAAAGCTCTGAGCACATATAACCGTAATTGCTCAATAAATGTTAGATACAGCGTTTACTGTTTTGGTGAAATACCAGCTTGTGTGCATATCCTTACAGATACTTGTGTTATAAAACTGACCCACCACGAAAAAATCTGTTCCTTTTTCTTACATTTGGACAAGTTTCTTGTGTTTTGCCACCCCATGACAGATTCCATCTGCTTTCCAGTAAATTAAAACTGTAGTCTTTTCTGCAAATTCAATGTAAAGTTAAATATAAGGACATTTATATTTAAATTTGAAACATTCAAATTTGATTTTCTTCCAGGTCCTGGAAGCTGCCAGAAAGAATGAGGTGCATTTCTTGTATAATATCTGCTTTGAACCAGTGATCTGCAGGTACCACACCAGAGTGGGCCTGACTGGTAAGATGTATCACAGAACTCAAAAGAACATCAGCCCAGACATATGAATGGGTTATGAGGACACGGCCACTCTAGAGGATGCAATCAGTCTGAAGGATTCCTTCTTTTTCTTGATACCCAGTTTCCTTTCTCTCCTTTGTTTTCTCAAGTTGGTGTCATCATCCTGTCTTCTCATTTCAGACCCTCAAAGTGAGTGTAAAGTACTAGAGATTTGGATACTGGCTCTGTGACTTGTGAGTGATATGACTTGGAATAAATTAACCTCTCTGAGCCTCAGTTTCCTCATCTGCAAACAAGATAACATTTTTCTAACAGGGATTATGTGAATAATAAGTCAGGTAACACATGGAAAGCACCTAGCTCAGTGCCTGCCATGTGGGACTCAAAACCAGTAGTTACTATTATTATTATTAGTAGTAGTATTTTGGCCTTAAGTAAGTCAGTTTTTGTTTGGATTCTGGTTACATTTCAAAAGAAAGAAAAGATTAAAAACACCACTTTCAGCACTAAATAATCTTAGAAGTTCAACTCTACTTTTCTTCTTGCAAACTTTCCCCCAACCTAAAATCAACCCCCCCACCCCCCGCCAAACTCTCCCTAATATAAAGAAAAACAAATCGAATCAAAAACCTTATACAGTTTTCCCAGGAAGCTATGTTCATATTAGCTTGCAACATACTGTGACTAATTTAGTATTCTTTATTTAGAGACAATATTTTCCAGGTGACCTGTCCAAAGTTGATTCTTGCTGTGTCTTTTCAATGTCCATTTGGAATGTTCTGCTTCTTCACCCTGAATGTGGTGAGTGCGCTCATCAGGCCTGATGCGCCGATGTGCTGCAGCTCCACAAAGAATACTCATCAGCCTCTGTTAGCTAAACCACTTCCCTTTAGCTGCTTCTGCTCAGTGGACTGTCAAATGTTATGACTACGAAGGAGGCCCTTGAAGTTGACCTGTCTGTGGCCAATCTGTCTCAATCACCCACAGTTCTGCCTGTGCTGGAAGCTATGCTGTCAATACTATCACCACTTGTTATAGTTGGGATCCAGAATGTCCCCCAAAGGCCTCTGTGTTAAATGCTTGGCCCATAACCCATGGTGCCATTGGAAGGTGGTAAAACCTTTAAGAGGTAAGGATGAGTGGGAAGTTTTCCAGTCATTAAGGACATGTCATGGAAAGGGATATTAGGAACCAAAAAAACAAAAACAAAAACAAAAACAAAACCCTTCTGCTTCCCCTCTTTTATGTCCCAGTCAAAAGGTGAGAGGTTTTGTTCCTTAACACTCCCACTGTGATGTGCTACCTCG